ACAAAGCGCAGTTATAGATCAATAAAGCGAAACTGAACAATGCACAACAAATAACGCAAAATAAACATGCACACAAATTGGTCAAATTCATGAATATCGCATGCCACTGTCGATAAACCGAACGTAGAAGCAGTATTGACTCAAAGAACACTTAAGTTACACATACTGTCGTAACATAAAACCCCACAAAAAATTATATTTGCATGCACAACAGACTAGATGTACGATGCATTTATAGGTAAAACAATTTCATTAATGACCATAAGAAACTTTTTCAACTTAAACTCGCAGCTCGAAATACAGACACGCTGTTACATACATATAAACATGCTATAAACAATTTAGAATACAATAACAATGCAAATGATCTTCCCACCTCCTTCTATGGAATACTGCCTAGAGGAAGCAAAACCTAACTGAGCACTAACACTAAGAATAAATGTTAGTCTACTTTTGCTTTAATCAGTCAGATTTCCGTTCACTAAGCCGTGCTCCAACGAATCCGTCAAACTACCCTCTTTGACCTCACTGAATTTAATGCAGCCAGACTCCGAGGATGTCTGCTTATACCTTGGCACCCATATGAATATTTATCTCTATTTTTTCTCATTACTGTTAATAATCTGCTAACGTAATCTGTTTTGACAGTTTAAAAATAAATCACTTTAATCAAACACTTCTAAGATTTTAATCAAACGGTTCTAAGGTTTCGTCCCTCAAATTGTAGAAGGAACTGTGCACGCTTTCAATTAAAATTGTAAAACTGCATGTGAACGGGAGAGCAGCTTATAACAGTCTTAAGTCTCACTTCAGTCTTAACCTAGAATCTACAGAATACTTAAACTTTCTTTTCAGAAACGTAGTGCCACGGTGATTTCGGATTTACCTAGCCAATTACAGAATCAAGAAAGACTATTTTAATTTTGTGTATCAAAGGTTAGAACCAACGATGTCATATGAAGCATTTTCAGCGCGATACAATCACTAAAAATCTAAGAGTGAACAAACGGAGAAGAGGAAACTCGTTGATCAAACACTTTTTCGCAAGTTTTACAGCAGATGTACCAAAAAAGCATCATCTAAGAAAACCGTTAAAGCACCGCAGAAAAGAGCAAAGAAATGTAAAAATATTCAGGCGAAGCAGTCTTGCATGCTGATCAGGACTAAATAAATGACTACTAAACACCGATGTTAGTCTATTTCATTGCATATACGTTACGACTATTTACTTAAACGACAAGATCACAAGCCTTCATATTCATCTAGCGTTCTGTAAATTACCGTTAACCGTCACTTGATTCCTAAACTTTTGCTTGCGAGATTCTTGAGGACATCCTATTGCATTAAAGCTGCATCTGCGTAACTACAACCTCTGCCTTTCGCACCGTCAATCTGTTTTGTAATTCCTAGTCAGGGCAATTAGAATCAGGGAATTAACATCAAAAGCTTATTGAAAAAAAGCAGAAAATGCAGTTTTTAAACAAAAGGCAAAATATAATTATATATGAAAAAATCGTTGCTGACGTTTCAACTCGCATGTCAAGACAGTTCAGAATAACCAGATTGGATGTTTTAGTTTCTTTTCGTTTTTTGTAGCAGCAGTTTTGCATACCAAGGCAAACTTTTAATCCACACGGCTGCTTCAACAGTTTCTTACTGACAGATACATACATGCTGACCTAGTTCCAGAGAATTCACATCCTGTATCGCAGTATAAATTAATCCTAAATAATATCGCAGTAATCCTAAAAGATAAATCCCTCGTCTCTTCAATCAGCTACTTTGGTTGACGATGCCGACATCCTAGTCACTGGAAAAAGCTTCGGTTCTGATAGGGTATGCCTGTTTAACATTCTGCTCGCGTTCATTAAGTATGTGCCAGAATTTGCCACTGGAGAAACAGAGAAAATCGTAGCTCGAAAAAAGACTACTCAACTATCAACTAAGGACATGGAGCGCTAAAGGAGTGTTCAAGCTGGGAATAAAGACTTCAGTCATCCAAGCTTCAGCGCAGAGAGTTCAGACGTGAAACACGCCACGCATGATGACCACACTATAAACGGCCAGACCTCATCCACACTGTCAGGAAAAGAAAGCAATTGATCCCGGACATCAATGAAGCATTAATGACTATAGCTCTGCGACAACACCAATTATGAAATGAGATAAGAACTTGATGAAGATTGGATGAGACTCGCATAGTCTATCAGCAAGAACTGCTAAAGCAATTTACAAACCCAACATTTTTTACCCTTTCTAAACTTACCGATGCAGCGAAAATAGCCATCTTAGAATAAAGAATTTCCGCAAAATACGGAAAACAGCGCCGGTACAGGTTTATCATCTGCCAAACTTATATTTAACATTGCATTAAATTAAACTGATGTTTTACGCTGACACGCTATAAGACTACAAACTTACGAAGAAAATACTAATCATATAAACGGCTACAGCGAAACTTCATCTTTACAAATTCCCTATGTTGTCTGTTTTGTACAACTTCATACAGTTTTAATCTTGTCCTCAAACCAGGAATATTATTCAAAAAACTCCCATATAGCTAAAGTATAGCATATTCCCTCATCACAATTTTCTCTTGCATATAAATGTTAAGGTCTAGTTCAAAATCTCACTCTTATTCAATCGAACGCAATAAATGATTTCGCATTCCGATTCAAATCAGCAGTGTTAGCGGTTGCACTTTCCATTTGTAATGAGGTGAAGTGAACATTATCCATGCTATACGGTATTCATTTAGAATGGATTGAAGTTCAATTATTAAGACAGTGTTCCCAACAACACAGAATTTTGTAAAAAGGATTAAATTGAAGAAAAACATTACCCAGAATCATATGAAGTTCAGTGAAACGAAACAGCGTGCACCAATTGTCAAAAGAAGTAACATTTGCATACTTAGTTTGCGAACACTGCCCTAACAGCACGTTCAATGAACTCGTATGAATCAGCAGAATCAGCATCTGACATGAAAATTTTACTGAAAAGATATAATAAAACAGTGAATGTAGAAGGGCGCAATAGAAATGTGAGTTATGATGACTTTAATATGCTTTGCTCATTAAAGCGAGTAAATGCTCAAAGAAAAGATAAAAAAGGAGTGCTTGAAAGAGAGAATAATGCGAAATATGCACAGGAAATTTCAAACCACACTTACTGAGTTCCTTTACACTGCTTCTTGTAGAAGCGCAATTTCTTGGTAAAAGGATGCAAGGTAGACAACTTCCCCGAAGGGGGGACTTATGAAAACTGAAATGGCCTTAATCAATTATTTTAACTTAACAAAGTTCGAAACTCCGGTGTTACCTGCAGGAAGCCCGGATGAAAAAGGAGGAGGGTTGGAGACCGTGGCAAGTCTCCGTAAAATTTAGCCATCTGCCACTCATGGTATTGACGCCATCGAAAATCATACCGGCTCGGTCGTCCCCAGGGGCTACCAAGGCCGCGCACGCTGTCCGGGGACTGAGTCAGACTGCCAAAAGTCGGCGATCAAAACCTGCTCATTGCCCTCTGTTAACCGGGGGCGTAGCAGCAAAACGATAAATGACGAAGACCGACAGAACGACGACGAAGATAATACCAGTCAGCAACGGAGTCGCTACCCGTTCTGAACGGAGGAAGCAGACAGCGCGATGCCATTATAGCACGTCAGAAAAGGCTCCACGAAATCGACACCACCAGTGGGAGCTTAAAGTCGGAAATTGGAACATATCCTCACTCAGAGGAAAAGAGCAAAAACTAGTTGATGAGACCATGAAGTACCAACTCGACATTGTTGGATTCTCGTCAACGAAACGCCCAAGCTCTGGACTCCTGAAACTCAATGGATGGAAGCTGTTCAACTCAGGCCTCGATATCACAACTCGCGCTCAGGCCGGTGTTGGCGATCCCGTAGAACCCAACCTTACGGATAAAATTATCGATTGGAAGCCTA